GTTTGAATCATCAGTGGCAAATCCTTTAAATATGAAAACGTACTTACAGGCTGTGAGTCAGAACAGCCGGCATTGTAGTCTACTCTCCCAGGATCAGGAAACAGTCCTCCATAAAATGCGCAGCACACATCTGAATATTTGGGTTGAACTGTTCTGGAACAGTTTTGTAAATACAACTTAATCACTGAATTCTAGTCGTGTCCTCTTTTGGAAGGCAAAACAAAGTAGTTTCGCTTTCGCAACGAAACACAGCATCTTCACAACATGGCGGCGGTGGTGGCAGCAACAATAAAGTTGCTGCCAAATAAAGTATATTTACTTCTTTCTTTGCGTGAACATTTGGGCGGCGTTATGCAAATCTTCCCACACAGTGACGTAGACATTTGGGGACGTGTTTAAAGGAGGCATTTTAGGAGGGCGTGGACGAGTCTTAACTTTTATAAAGAATATCTCTTTGGGTTTGAGACTTTAGTCTTTGCAACTTTAGGGATCTTATCTATTCACAAACAGCTTGTAAGAAAAACTTGAAATCGCATCATATGACCCTTTTAATAGATTTGTACTATACTTAGTATGAAACAAATGTATTTTAAATACATAAATTTTTACTAGGGTGTTCAATGTGACTGATAATCTACATAATGAAAAAAAATATATATATAATGCTCTCTTAGCAAACACGTCACACGGTGAGGTCTAAATTTAATGGTGGTGTGGGCAAAATGATTCACACATTTTTAAGACTTTTATAATCCTGAACACCAACAACATGTCTTTATTTAAAGCTAACTCCAGAGAGACAGAAAAAGACACTGATGAAAAAGGACGCTCACTTATCTCCCGAGAGGTTAACTGAGCACACTTAATTACAACTTCAGCACTAGTTCTCCAAGAGGAAATTAATATGCTATTTCTTCCTTTTACATAACTCTGCCTGATTTTCAAAGCATAAAGATTGATGGAATTCAAAGCAAAGTCAACATGCTGAGCATCAGGACAAACAGAAGGGGCTTTAAAAGAGGGATGTGTGGGAATGGCTAAATAAGAAAGTCTTTTGTCAGGTTCAGACACAATACTTTTAAAATACAAACTCAATATACCTTATTTCAAACAACCTACATTTGATTTTGGGCCCTTCACCAATACAGGCCGATCGGTGTAATATTCATGTCAATAAAATACAATAAATCCACAGAATAAACTAAGCAACAAACAACAACTAATTACTTCCTTAGTGGTGCAACGCTACTAAGATTACGTAAAATGTCTCATGTCTAAAATCTAATCTTTCCATGTTTCCATTTCCTGCTCACCATCTGAACTCCCCTGTACTCAGTCCCATACATGCTACGCTTAATTAGCCCAATGTACTCACCTTCATTAGCGGCTGATTAACTTGCATGAGTTGGATCTTTGAACTACAGGACATTAAACATGGCATGACGTCTCAGCAGCAAGACCCTTACATGACGACTCTAATGACAGAGGCCACTTGAGAAACTACTTGGCTTCTTCACATGCAAGCGTATCATGTCATGCAGGCCATTATGAACACGCTGTGTTGATTCAAAGTATATTTTTATGTGTATAGTTTGGTGATACTAGGCCTGTCTCCAGAAACTCTAAATAATGCATTAGTTTCTCATGTTTGTTTGCTCTTCTAAGTGGCATATCAAGTTAAAAGACGACAACAGCCAAGAGAAACATGGAGAAACAAACAGGCTACTGCTGTTACCCACTTCAACATTTATAGACATTTTGTTTTAACTCATCTCATTGTCATGGTGGAGCAACTGTCTGGAGGATATTTGTCAGACTTGTCTGCTAGTACAACAACATCACATAAACTGATGAAAATTAAAAAAGAATTGGGAACTAAAGCCTCACCAACAAAATTCAAAATAATCACACATATGCCTCCCTCTAGAGTTTCAGAAGGTCTGTGCTCAGACCTACCACAATAAAAAATTTGCTTCAGGCTAAAATATATTCAAAAGGATTTCAATATGAACTTAAATATTTATCATCAATTTCTTAAACTCTGTAATATGTAATTTTTTTTATATTTCTACTAATTATATAAAGGGGAACGTCTGATAAAATTTATATTTTGTAAATAGCTCTCCCAAAAATTAATATTATGTCATCAGTTTTTGTAATATATGTCATGTTTTTATAATTTGAAATGTGTTGCAACTTATATTCCAAAGCAGCTTATATAATGCAATTAATGTTAAGCATGCAAAGTGCTGACAAGTGTACACACAAACAGCATACATCTAGAATTACTAACTTGACAAACAGCCTATTCATCATCAGACTGATATGTAGTCAATCAAAATTTAAAAGCTCAGTTAGAATTTTCTGTTGTACAGGAGGGCCGTGCCAGGCAACCACCCCAACACGGTGGTACACCAAACTTATTTTTGCACATGTAAGTTTGCTGTTTTACATGGATATTGGGACACAAGTGAAGTATAAAGCCTTGATTGCATAATAACATAATTAGACATGACTGGTCTGTGAGTTTGTGCAGAAATGTTTTAGTTTTTATCTTCCCCACATTCAATTTTGAAC